TCAATTCTTTAAGAAGAAATAATTGCATTATGGAAGCTTGCCAGTTCAATTGTAACATTATTGACCAAAGCCCACAGAGTTAATTTATAGGAACAGACATATTCTTTTGTGGAAAACTTCTAGGCATATTTTAGCAGCCTGTTGGTGATTGGGGATTATCTCTGTGAACCAGTAGCTTACTTGTCTGCCCTGAGGACAGTGGACTTTGCCCTCAAGTCTGTGCCCTATCTTCAGTTAATGGTACTTTGAAGGAAACCCATAACTGATTTTATTATATATAAGTTCACAGGCAACTTCAAATTAAGAAAAAATGAAAAGGAAAAAAAGTATTCTGTTTCTGATATAGTTTACAGTTTAAAAATGTATTAAGGAGAATAAGGAGTAAAACTTAATTAAATGTGACTATGTATTGTATGTATCTATTTTGTATGGACCCTTAGTATTAGCTCTAGAGCAATGTTTGTCAACTCATACCTTTCAGAGTACCCACAAAAGGCAAAATGAAAAGATACCAACCCTAGAAGAGCAGGGTGTTGCTTGCAGTGTTATTTGTGTACTTGGGTTGCTGATGGGTATGTGAAGTTGAGCGACCATTGTTCTGGAGACGCACCAGCACTTCATGTTCCAAACTGAGCCAATGCTGACTGTGTCAGCCAGTGTTTTTTATTTAGATATACTTCAGGTCGAAGTCTAATTTTAATGAAATCATTATTTCCCAAAGCAATTTAAAGTAATTATCCTTGTACAAAAGGACTGATGTGGCTAACGCTGTCACAGAGCCACCCTGTTGAGTTGTTCCAGCCACCTCCTTAGAAATGCAGCAAAGGCTGTTTGTGGCATTGCACTGCTTAGTACACCTGTAATACGTAGCATTAATCAGTTCACCCTATATATTAGGACTTCCTAACTCTAAAAGAATATCAGAATGGTGTGGAATATAGACAACATACTTAAAATGTTAAAGGATATAATTTTATTTTACACAAGTGTTGTTTGAAAAGCTGTGAAGGAGAGATGTTTACTCTTGCAGAATGGAGTGCCAATGTTAGAAGCACAGGCTTTCTGTGTGTAGCTGGAGAATATCCAGTGCCTGTAGTAGACTTTTAATTTTACTACTCTGGATCAATCCACAGAGGCACCATCTAAGTAACACTGAACTTAATCCATCGAGTTCAGTTGAAGTGCTGCAGTGTTACTGTGTAGTTCCACTCTGCCTGTCTCCCTCCTCCCTGCCAAGCCAGCACTGTCGCACTGGAGCAAAAGTGCTCTCTGCAAAGAAAGCACCTGTTTTGCCATGTTAAGCCAAGATATGGACTCTTTACTCCTGAAAAATGTCACAGGAATTGCCTTTCTTGCTGCTGTGTATTGTCACTGCTGAGGGCAAAATACTATGGAAGCACATTCCTTAACTGCAGAATTTGTACCCGACCAAAGAACCGTACTCTAAAACCTTATATTTGCATGTTTCTTATGTTTCCAGCATTAATTGCAGAGGCAGGCAGACTGTGTGTAGCTAATGGTACTTTTGAGTGTATAATAGTTGCTAAGTCATAGATCATGTAAAGAAAGATCGATTTTGAATTAATGTGATGTAGAACTAGTGCAACACTGAAAAGTAAAGAATATAAATAAATTAATTAATATATGTAAACATCTTGGATCGTTTCTTTCCATTTCTTTCCCTTTTCCTTTTGCTTCTTGAAAGTTGTTTCACTTTTCCAAGAATCTTCTCCCCAGTCTTGTGGAGATGGCTGAGGTTCTGTCAAAATATGTGCCACCAATTGCAGTTTCTCGTGGCTTTCAACACTGTGCTGTGTGACTTCTGCAGAAAAACAGGAAGAAGGTAGTGAACTATTTAGGAGTGACATTGAACCACCTTTGAGAGCACTCGGGGCAGGGGAAAGCTGCATGTTGGAAATGGGCTGAGGAGCACACTAGCAGGGCTCTGCCTCCCCTCAGCCCCACCAGGCACTTGTACCATATTTGGTAGAGAAATGAGGACAAAGGAAAAGCCTGGCCAGGCTGTTCTGTCTGCTGTAATCTGTGGTCACTATCTCAAGGAGCGCTGATGACTTTCATTTGCCCCAAGCCCTGCCCTTTCTTTGCCCTCCAGCCCTCACCTCACTGGGAATGGGGCCTTGAACTTAATCCAGCTTGTGACATGGCTGAGGGCATGAAGGCAACAGGCTAAACCAAGTCTTGACTGACGGAACAAAACAGACTGGAGGACAGCCTTTGGATACCCTGCAGGCTAAAGGAAGACAAAGTGCAGTCTCAAGACCAGATAGGAAAGATCAGAACAAGCTCCAAGCAAATACATTCAGACAAACAGGCTGGAGAACAATCAGCTGAAGTGGATGACTTCAGGTGGACAGGTCCTTATTAATCTTGCAGCATGTAACGATCTAAACACTTCATGCAACCTGAAATGTGGGCAGTTTTCTTTGAGGTCTGTAAAAAACAGGAGAAGTCTTTAAAAACTGAAGGACAAACATCATGTTGTCCTCAGAAACGAAGTATCCAAGGAATTATTGGTCCATTTGCCCAGCTTTTCTCCCTAGAGTAACTCTGGACCAAAGTAAATAGTTTTGTTTTTTAATCCTTTCCCTGGGTTTTTACTAACCATCAAGAACAGCTTGTACCAAACAAGTCCAGTTTCCCTTTAGGACAGACCTAACATATGAGGCAACATCCTTCTAATCAGCTTGAGGAAATACAAATTAATCACTGAGATGGGTATGCAGCTATCTGAAAAAAAAGAAGTCTTAAAGAGCACTTGACCACCCAGCAGGACAGCAAATGCTGCTGTTCTGCAGGAATGTGTCAGGTTAGCAGCTTTATTCAGCATTTTAAACAATTTGCTTATCTGAAAAATGACCCTCTGTGGATTATACCCAAGGAGGAATGATTACAAGGATGTTCAAAACCACAATTAGAGTATAAAAAATTGCACCAGTTTTCCAAATTGGCAGAGCAACACAAAAATACAATCCAGTAAAATTGTCAAAAGCAATTCCTCTTAGGCAGGAGAAAGCAATTTTGTAGTAAGGAAAGTAGCTGACAGAGCAGCAGTGTTACTAAAAAAAAAAAAAAATCAGAAATCATAGAAAGCCACAAACCAAGGAGCAGCTATACAACGAGCTGTTGCCAAGAAAGCAGCAGCTACTAGTTCTGCAGGAAGTTGGGGAAAGAGGACCGAGAGACAAACAAGGTAATTGTTCTGCTGGCTTGGGGATGATGCAGCCTGGCTTAGAGAGCAACACTCTCAGCTCTACAGAAGACCAATGGCAATGATTAATGATTTAGAAAACATAACTTAGGAGATAAGACTGAAAGGTTCAGTTTTGATTTTTTTTCTCCAAAGCAGAAGAGAGCAGGAACAGAACTCAGGACAGCGTGAGCAGAGTGCAAACCAGATGCTGAACTACTCTGTTCCCTGATTAGGGGAGGACAGAGGGGAAGGCAACTCAATTTGCAGCAAAATCAATTCAGGTCAGTTTGTGGGGGAGTTTTTGAGTTAAGGAGGAAACAGCAGTGAGACAGAACATTTGGGAGACACTTTCACTAGAGTTTTTTTACAAGTTGGACAAATCTACACCAAGAATGCTCTGCCTTGGCACCACTCAGCAGAAGAAAACAGCAGCAGGTCCCCTGATAAATCTTCCTTCTTTATAAGGAAGCTTTAATAAACAGATGATCAATACTATTTTACATACAGCTCATAAACAAAAGAATTAGTATTACGCACAAAACGAAATGACTCAGTGTTTCCAAGGATTTGGAAACAGGGTTTTTGCTCCAAACCAAGCTCAGACACAGTCCTTGAAGTCCCATGTACAGAATGGCAGATGCCCTTTTCTCTGCCTGGTATGTTGCCAGCTTTTCTACCTCCTAGGAAAACAAGTCACAAAGTCTGAATGCAAGAAAAGTGCTATGAAAGTCAGCTGCAAAAAAATGTCAGCTAATTGCTCTGCCTTAGTACCTGCCAAGGTACTGAAGGGTATTGTGAGGAAAAGTCACGTTGCTGGAGGTTAGTGTCCACAAAGGAGACAGAAGAGCCTTTTTGGTTTTACCTTTTTTTCTAGCTTTATCCAGGTAAAGGGAGAAAGGTCATTAAGGCAATGCCCAATGAAAACTTTCTCAGACGAGGGATACAGCCTCACTTTTATCCCAACTTCCCAGCTGCATACCACCCTCTCCCCTTCCCCATTGCCTGAGGTAATTGGGAGGTACAAGTGTGTTCCCCCTCGTTACACATAAAATGTATGAGCACTAAAATTAGCTCTAAGCCCACTCTGGGCATAGAAGTTAATATGTATAACCCTCATTAAGCCTGAAGAGTTGAGAAGTTCAGCATAACCTCGGTCAAGAAGCATCTAGTCCAGGCTAGCTGAACTCCCCAAAATCCTTCTCTTTGCTGATTGGTTCTTATTCCCCTTATCTACAAGCAGATAGACACGTTTTGTTCAGACCCATTCATCTTGTTCTTGTCAGTGTCTACAGAGGAATGTTCTCCTAGAACATGATAGGGTGTGACATTAAAACTGAATAGCCATACAATGAACAGCTTTCCTTGTAGCTGATTTTGACATTTGAAGGACTGAGCAATTTCACACCTTTTAAGAGTACCTAGCTGGCATTTTTGAAGTTTCCACACTGACATTTTGTGTGAAGGAAAGAAACTAGTGAGGCTAAGAGGCTTTGAAGTGCAGGAGGGAGAAAGGCTCCAAGAGGCAAAACAAGCTAATTTTGGTGATCTCTTGCCGTTAAAAAAAAAGAAAAAAAAAATCAGTGGATTTTGTTCCTATTGCTACAAGAAAACTGGTTAAGAAGCAGCAATGACATTGCTAAGTGCCTTAAGTTCTAGTGCTTCAGAGGAGAAAACAGACAGAAATTGCTGACAGCAATTTCAGTATATCAATAAGAGGCTGCCTATTGCACACACCATTTTGTTAATAACATGGAGAACATACCTATTTGGGTTTGGGGGTTTTTTTTCCTTTTTTTTTTTTTTTTCAGCACAGAAGATGAAGGGGCAGCTCTAAGTTTAGAGCATTAGCTTAACTCCTGCCCCTAACACTTGATCTAAATTTGTAAATTTTGCCCAAGTTCCAAAAAACGGCAGTGCCTGAGCTTAACAAAACCTCTTTCTCAGTAAGCTTTTAATTTCATCACGCACTTAGCCAAGTCCATTTTAGCAGTTTGAGCTAAATTAAATAGAGGAAAACTGATGTATTAAGCAAAGAGTATGATTACTGGAAGCACTGGTTAACTGGAAAGTCTCTCTTTGTAGATGCTTTGTGCAAGAGTCATCAAAATACTTGCAGTACTTTGGCAAGAGCAAAACAAGGAACAGAGACTATTACTAGAATACACTGCCTAGTTTACAGTTTTCCCCACTGAATTATTACCTTCAGAACACTACTTGGCAATAATTAAAGAACAGCTGTCAAAAGGACGCTTCTACAAGCTTTAAAAGCAAAGAGAAAGGATTTAATTAACCTAACCAATATAACTGGAAAAAAAGAGAGGGGGAAAAAAACAGCTGCACAAAAAACCCCCAAGAGTCATCACCAAGCTTTCAGGCTCTCAGATGTTACAAAACTGAGGCAGAGTTTCCGGGCCTGAGAGAAAGTTTGTCTCTCCCGTGCCACCCACCCAAACCCACATTGCTTTGCTGTGGTGAGAGCATGGATTTAGTTACATCAACTATCTCAAGTCTCCTGCTATCACCATGATTCAAGACAGCTTGCAGGAAGCTCATCCAAATAGAGAGATTTTAATCTGGTTTTGTATTTGGATTTTCAGTATTATTTCAAGGCTGCATTTCTACAGCTGACAGTGCAACCCGTGGGGCTTGCTCCCCTGAAAACTTTTTTGCAAATATTGAATAAAACCTAAGTATTTGAGAATCATCTTGATGAATCTTAAATAACCCACAGATCTGCTCCTCCCAGCCCCACTGTGCCCATTCCTGGACCTGCAGATCTCAGCTGCTGCCTGACCATGGCAGTAGAGTGACAAGGGAGAGAGGTTCCTGTAATGTCCTGGCCATACCTGGGCTTTCACCTACCTCTTGCTCTTGCTTGGGTGAGGGAAAAACCCTGCAAACCAAAAAATTTTTTCTGTTAGCATTTTTTTATTTCTTTTTTTTTTCTTTATTTTTTTTAATTAAAAAAATAATTTTCCTTCCAGGGGAAATTTTGAGTATTTGAAGTTCCAGCTCAGAACTAAGCTTATTGAATAATTTCCAGTGAATGGAAATGCCCAACTTGTGAATAGTTCTACCCAGTAAGTGCTGAAACACCATGGCTTAAAATTTGACGTGTGCCTTTATGACTCCTTTAAAGCTGTTCAACTGTGTCATGGCATTCCTTAATTGAAATAAATCAAAACTAACAAAAAAAGATAGAAATTAATTGTTCAATTTTTCTAGGATGCCAAATACAGAAAAATTATTTAACAGAATGTATTAACATAGAAAAAAGTCACTTACAGCAAGAGATTTGTTGTTGGTCACCATTACCACCAAAACAGGAGGACTGGGAGAGAGGAATCCAAAGAGTGTCTTGGATGGTCATGTCATGGTTATGTCTTAATTTTGAATGATCTGCTGAACTGAAGGGAACAAAGTATTCTTTCTCTGAATCTTTTCAGGAAGCCATCACTAATGTGTTCAAGCGCCAAATAAACACATTTGGGTCCCAGCAACTAGGTAATAATGGCTTTCAGTAGTTTAGCAACCTGGCATTTTCAATGACTTCAGCAGTTAGCAAGGACTATGGAGCTATATTTGGGAAGGCTGCAGCACTCTCAGTCAAATTCCAGTTTGATCATTTATTAAGTCTCAACATGGCAATGTCAGAAAATAGTGTGGCCTTGAGTACCCTGAGAGTGAGAGCACAAGTCTCACAGCTCCATCTCTGCTCCATTATCCCAGCAAAAACATATGGCTATAGTATTCCCCTCTGCCTGTGTGGCTCAAGTTCACTTTTGAGAGGGAAGAGGCCAAAGCAACACACAAGTTTTTCTTGTTTGGGTTCTGCAACCCTTGAACATGGTTTCCCATCAAAACACCATCTTTCTTATATTAGTTTATCTACTCAACTCAAGAACAAAATGCCACAACATAATAAATATTATTGAATGTTTTTCAATATAAATTCTTTGAATAAATTTACAGATCAAGTAACTGCAATGAAGAACAAACAAATGATAGCAAAATGCGGAAAAATTCAAGCTAAAACCCCTCTAACCTTAAAAAATACACATTAAAGATGAAAGTACACTCAGACAATTGCTTTACATGCACAAACACAGGCTCAAGAAATTAATCCATTAGGAAGTATGTCAACTGCTGTTATTCAGGAGAGTTATCCAAAACTTTTCTATACAGCAATCCAAACCATCCTTTGTATTTAAGTCTTCCTTTTGGCCTTACAGCTTACATCTGGGTTTTTTTCTACTTCTCTGGCTTAATGAATTTGTTTGGGGTCATTCTGTTAGTTTGGATTTTTTAAGAAACAATAAACTTTGGTTTTACCATAAACACCAGCACAAAAGTCAAAAGGATTTAGGGTAAAGCACTGATTTTCCTAGAGGGCTATACTGAAAGCCACAAAACTTTACATTACACTGTTATGCTTACTTATATTGAAATCATACATTTCTGCTTGTCTAGTGGTCTGTGATGAGCAACATTCTAGATGAGGTAGATTGAAAAAATATTTGTATCACTATAATGATATAAATGTTGCAGGGCAGAGGGAATGAAGATGGCACAGGAATTTAATTACTCTCTCCCCCACGCTATTCCTTTACCTCTGAAATTTCCCACAGTGCTGCTAACTGACTTTTTATAACCTGAGTTTTATCTCACTCAAATCCCTGAGGCTTTATTCTCACTTTGTCTCATTTATCAATTTTTATAATGTTGGGGGTTTTTTTTAGCCTTGCTGTAAGTAAAAGCTAAATGCTAATATGGAGTCTGCTAGTTCTGTTACATTTCTCCTCCCCTTTCTACCACTAACAGAAGGTAGGTAAGAATGTGGAAGAAACTGTATATTTGAGAGGCTCAGTAGGGACTGGGGAAAGAATTGAATTTATTGAGGAGGGCATACACAAGTGGGTAAAGGATGCACATTTGTTCTATTTCTCACAGAACATTATGTTCTAAGAATGTAGCATTTTGTTTCAGATTTTTGACTGGAGTTTGAGGACAGGGATGAACTATAAAAGGTTAGTGGCTATAGAGTTTGTTCCTAGCAAACTTATCAGGAGATCTCTTCCCAGTCTGCTAAGACTGACCATATCAGTGATTAACATGTCTGCACTTAGCTGGGAGGAGCAAGAAATTCCTGAACACTAACTATAAAGGGCTTCCACGGATCCCTTTCTGCTCATTACATTACTTTCTTCCTCCTGCACAATTAAGGTACTGCTGTTACCACCCTTGCAGCACAGGATGGAAACCAATGCTTGGAATTCAGAGCAGAGAAACACCAAACACCACAGTTGTGCCAAAAAAATCTGTTGAGCTTTGCTGGGTAAAGCACCCTCAAAACAAAACCATCAAAAAATGAGCAAAACAATTAATGACTAAAAAAAAAAAAAAAAATCAACCTGCTGCAGTAAAACATAGAAGAATTTTTTTTTTTAGAAGTCCAGTCAGCACCTTGTTTTATATTGCTAAGCTCCTAGAAGGGAAGCTCAAATCACAGTCTCATCACTATAGAAATAATAAAACTTATCCCTTAGAAAACAGGCCAAGGTTGTTATCCCCCCTTCTCCCAAAAGCATCAGCTTGGCAGTAAGGATGGGTCTTGAAGCCTTTGAATTATTTCAGTTTCGGTGGGTTAACACTTGCTATCAATTTGACCACAGCTCCTTTGACTCAAGCATCCATCCTGGTAATTCTGCTGGACAGACTCAGGATGACTTTGCTTCCAAAAATTTTGTTTTCAGGCCAATATGGCCAAAGTAGAATCACAGTCTGGTTAGACTCAATACAGTTATCTGCCTCTGCACAGCACAGGTAAAAAAATCTATATAATTTGAAACAAAGTATAATTAACCCAAGAAGTCCATGAAGGCAAGGCATCTGAGGACAGGTCACTGAAAGGATACAATACTAAGCCTTTTCTATGAATATTCTGAATACCAGCTGGAAAGCAGAGAGGCTTTTCATACACATTTTCAAAGAAAAAAACCACCCTCTTTTAAGATATCTGAGCAGGCCACAGCTGATGCACATCAACCAGAAACACAAGAAGGTCAGTCCTTAAGTGCCCTCCGGAAAGTGCCCAGGGCACACACGGACACGGGGTCATCCACAAACAGTCTGTGCTCTGGGACCACACCTGGCAGCAGCTCCATGCAAGAGCACTAATGAGCCATGTACTGTACATGAACCTTATCTCACCTACTGCAAAACAGAGACAAATATTTCAGAGAAGTCACAGTGCTTGCTCCAAAAAAACGCACTGACAGTCTCCTGTGAGGCACAAACTCAAGTGCAAGTGACAAGTAACAGGGCAGAGCTGGGAAATGATGCAATGCAGTGACAGGATTTATGTACATGCTCCTCTGGAGTGATCTTGGATGATCAGAGAGATGGAAGAACAGCCACAGTTAGTGATGGATCTCCTGTGCATCAGAGGAGGACTCAGTGAGGTGAGAGCTGAATGTCTCATGGGCCTCTTCACATCTACACTGTCACCTGAGGTATGAGCAGGAATGAGTTTCCTCCTCTTTCACTGAAAGCACAGTTCATCTGTTTTCTTTTTCAGAATTAGGAGTCTCCGAAGTTTCTGTTAAAATTAAAGAATGAATTTCTTCTTCCATAATTAACTTGTCGTAAGCATTCACGGACTCATCCTTTGCATAGCTCTGAAAGAGAGGAACAACATTTTTAACAGCACTTCCTCATGGTGTTGTTTTTTCAGACCAGTAAGACAGACCCGTGTTCCACAACATATACCCCATATTATGGTGAAAAGGCCAAGGTAGCTGGGTAACAAACTACTTTTTGGAGACATGGCTGAGGCCTGGTTGACAGAAGAGTTGTTCTCTCTGGAGAGGAGAAACTGAATGTTGGTCCCCACCTTAATAGTGCTTCCAACTATAGCTAAGGGGTAAAGCTCAGGCAGGAGGATGGAGAAGTGAGGCTGTACACACTCAGCAGGGTTTTCACTGAGCACACGGAGAAATCGTGCACTTGCCAAAGCACAACAAAGTGTAACAGCTACCACAGTTACAGTCCTCATGGCCAGGAGTCCCATCTTTGAGAACAACATACACTGCTTAAATTAGGGCTTCTCAGCGTATTTCCCTTAGGGTTTTTATAAAGGACTACTGAGATTCATTTATTTAGAAATAAGTTTCCATAATCAGTACTATGTTTATTTTTCCCAAAATAAGGCACCATAGCTTGGAGTGGCTATAGCTAGTTTTGTTCTTTTGCCAATGAGAAGCTAAACATCCTGGTTTCCTTCAAAGCTAACTGACTATGAGAAATGTAAGAATGCTAAAAATACAAGTTTCTGGAAGTCAAATACGAATAGCTTCATTCAGTATCATATATATGAGCAACTAGCAGAAAAACACATGAATGTTCAGCAGAAGTCGTCTAATGGAGTTGCAAAAACAAACAAAAAAAACCTCAAACCAAAACCCACACAGGAAAAGAATCCTGATAATCAGGAAACCCTCACCTAAAGAAAACCAACCTGAAACACATTTAACGGGCTAGCAGTCTGAAATAAGAGAATAATGCAATTCTACTCGTGTAACTAGAAAAGTATTGCAAAGGGGGAAAATCTCAGTTTTGGGTAAGTGTTTCTGAACAACTCCTACTATTGTAAACACTTAATCTTCATATGATATACTCACTTATATATAGTTAGTTATAAGATAGACATAGGTAGTAGGAAAAAGAAAATTGCAAGCCTAGAGATCACAGTTCAATAGATTAGTTGGCCCAACAGCTTCTTACTAACCTGGGAATCCTCATTCTGCTCTCCAAACATGCGCTTAAGAATTTCTCTAGGGTCTGGAATTGGTGGAAAAATTAGTATCTTCAGCCTTCAAAAAATTAAAAATAAAATATTTAGATGAGAGATACATTAATTTAAAAATCACCCTTTGAAAATCATATTTGGGTACGGTCAAGAAAATTTGTGGGCTCAGCTTTGGCATCACTGGCCAGCCTTCATTCTCTGTGTAACTGCACTTATTTCTTATTTTTACTCCCCAAACCAAAAGGAAGGGGGAATGTTGACACAGACAGATTCTTAATAACTTTCACTCTTGACAAAGACAGCAGCAAATAGAGGGAGATCGTTATTTACCTTTTCAGATAAACCAGTAGAATTATTGTAGATACTGCTACTAATAATGGAATAGTGATTATTAGAACCAAAGAGAATGTAAAGTCCCTCTTCTCACCTGGAAAACAAAAATTGTAGAAACTTAGGGATGTTTTGAGAGGCTTTTGAGGAATAATGACAACAAATAAGTTAATTCTCTAATTTGTTCATAGATTCAATGCTTTTTCAAATACACTATCACTTCTGTAGGCAAGGACAGACTTGTTTTTCAAAAATGGGATTATAATGTAGATAGATATATTTGGCAAGAAAATGCAAACCACCAAGACACAGGGCTGAAAAGCTGACCACACTGGAAAGGGGTCATTGCCCAGCTACACAGATGGCAAATCTAGCAGCACAGGCAGGAACTGACAGCGCTGCTGAAGGACTAGAACTCTCTTGCCCTCTTTTCACCCAAAATTAAATAGATACATAGGAAGATGATCTTTGACTCCCATTTATTTAGCAGACAAAAGGTATTAGATGCCTTACAGATGAAGAATAAAGTGCAACAAAACACAGGGACAACTGCTCTCACCAATGCTCTTTTCTTCACTCCAGTCACTATAGAACTCGCTGCTGTAACAGTCGGGCTTTGGCTTTGCTTTCACTTTGAAGATGTACTTGCTGTTGGGATCAATGCCAGCAATTGACACAGAATTCTCTTCAGACTAAGGTAAAAACAAAAGGTAATTTGCTCTGTTCAATTACCAATGCATTCTCAGTCATGAACAAGCCTATTTGCATTGTGCAGATAATGTATTCTGAGTGTTTTGACAGAACATCTTTTTATGACTATTGAACCTCATTAAAAAAAAAGGACAAAGCAGCACTTAAATAGCACACTGCTTAAACAGCGATTCCAAAGCTAACATTTAATCTCATTCACTGCTACATCTATCATGCAGCACTTGGCATCAATGATTAAACTAAGACTCAGTGTCTGGAATGGTGCCTTTCTAATCTTTTTTTTTCCCCCCCTTCTGAAAACATCTATGATTTACACAGCCTTCCTCTCTGTCAGGGCAGCAATGTTGATCTAACTTTGACCATACCAAAGTGTTCTGTGATGCCTCTACAGAGAGGCACACAGACTAGATAGTATCAACATCACTTATTTTTGATCCAAAATGCCAGTTTCCTGAGGATTGTTGACATCATTCGAGTCTGGGGTAGAATAAACAACTAAATATGCTCCACAAGAGAAGACTGCCACTTACTTTGACATTTATTATGCTGTTTACCATTCTGATCAAAAGTACAGTCTGTTTGGCAATACAGATACAGGCATAAGTATATCCAGACACTGAACTCAGCGCTTGTACATGTACATTTAAATCAGTGTGTCTCAGAGTGCACACCTCTTTCTTCTTTTCTTCCCCTCCATCTTCAGTCTTTTTATTCCCCTTTCTGTATGACATTTTGTGTTCTTGTGTGCACCAGCAATTGATTTTCCTATACAGTAATCAGGTCCCACCATTCAAAAACAAGGCTCCCATCTGACCACATCTGACCACGACAGGAAAACCCAACACCAACACACGAAAGCCCATATCCCTGAGAAGCAAACAGGCACAGGCACCACAGTGCATTTCCTGATAGTTTAGTATATACTTCTTTATCAGACTGTTCTTACACGTTACTGTTTTGCCCTAACAAATGATGGGAAGGATTCACAAGACTTGTATGATAACAGAAACCGACTGTATGAGAGAAAAACTTTACATTCACACAACACTTCCAGCTAGTGCACCCACCCCATTCACATGCAGCATATTAACAGCTCAATTGCAACAGCAAATATTTGAGTTACTGCGAATATCAACACAAATTACGAAAGAGATATAGGAAAAAAAAAATGAATAATGAAAACTTACTGGAATTATCCGACCGGTGTCCAAATCACCATTGTGATATTTAACTTCATAAAGCAAACAGCCTTTTGGAAAGGTTTCTGATTCACTCCATTTTACATCTATTTTATCATTAATCTTTGACAATGTCACTTGACTTGGTGTAGCAGGTTTTACTGAAACGCAAAATGACACTATTAGTTCAAAAGTCTATTTCAATGCTTACAAAAATTGTTCAAGTCCTGTATTGGAGAATATTACACTTATGCCAGTTGAGGAACAGAAAGAGGAAGAAGTTAGCAGCAGAAAGTAAAAAAAGAATAAATCCAACTAAAGAATAAGAGTAGAAGTGAATGGAAAATGACCCCTCCACCCCTAACATCCACCCCCCCTGGAAACCAAACCTTGTCTAAATCACTTCAAATCAAAGGTCAGTAGAAGAAGGAAGCATCTAATCATGTTGTCTCATCCACACCTTATCAGGTGCAAGTTTCTCAAACACAGCAATATACTACCAAACTTCTTATTTTCATTATTTTTTTTATGATGTGGTGTTAAACGTACCAAGGGTGGTAGGATTTTTACTTGCACACACAGGCCTAATTTCTTCAGAGTCATCTCTAATCAAAATACTTATAGTCGGGTAAGTATTGGTGACTTTTGGGAAGGTAAAATTGAAAACGCATCTAAAGATTCCTTGGTCTGTAGAATAGTTGCTGCACTTCTTTGGGTTTTTCAAACCATCAAACCTATAGGAAAAAAATTATTTTTGTAAACTTCAGAAGAAAAGGACAGCAAGGGACAGACTTGGTTTTAAACCCATGTTACAAATTCTAAAGACTGATCTTGCATTAAAGCTGTACTATAGCATATAGAAAAGTAAAGCTGGGCAAAGTAAGAAGCCTCTAATTTATCTCAAGCGTTATAAAGAATATTCTAAGTGTTGAGCAGAAAGAGAGGCAGGGTTGCTTTATATCAAAGCATCAAAGATAATAGCTGCTGTCAGCTCTGGCTCACATTATCCAAACGGGAAAACAATTTCAAGGGAAAAAAGTATTTAGAAAGCACACTAATTTGGACCATTTCTTGTCAAGAGAATTTCACTTCTGTGACAGAATGAGCAGATCAATCTCCTTTAGCTCTGCCTCAGGTACCACAGCTCTTGCTTGAGATGGTCGAGTTTCACCTATTTACCTGCATTTGCTTTTCAAAATGTCATTATTCACTTCCAATAACAGAGAAGCTATGACAACCTTTTTCCTTGCTTCTCTTTGTTCCCCAAGCCCCAATGAACATATACCAAAAACCTAACAATTTATTTATTTAAAAGTGATATAGAGTGAATCAGAGCTTCATTTAGGAGCACAAAAGGAATGGTATTCTCCTACTTCATATCTCAATATATAGGCTCGGGAAGCTGAACCCTCTGTCCTGTTTTCAGCACAGACCCATTTTTTATTCACCTTTCCCACCTCCCTGCCCTGGGGCTGATGAGGGCAGAGGCATTCAGAGCAGGCAGCTCAGTGCAGATGCATCAACCTGCTCTCATATGCCTCCATTTCAGCAGGAATTACTGTGTACTGGCTGGATTCATTTGTTCTAAGTTATCATTATATTCACATCCACTTTAGATGAAAAGACAGTGTTTTAGAGGAAGACATCAAAGAATAACGTAGAATGGAACTAGGTAATAATTTTTCCGGCAGTTCTTTACTCATTTCTGAAAACCAAAACAAACCACCACCTCACCTGCACTGTGGAAAATGTATCTTTCAGTCTAAAAATAAAGTGCTTCTTTAGTTTTTGGATTTAAAATCTAAAAATTATTCTTCTTTCTAAGCAGCACAAATTAAAACACTTTGCAGTCACTGCAGCTGCATCTTCCATTAAAATTAAGGGGCAAGTTCAAAATATATAGCTCAAATCTAAAGCATTATTCCAGTAAATATCCATATACCCAGAAATTCAGATCTTAAATGCCTCATTAGTTCTTTCTTTCTTTGAGTAGCAGTCTAGAGAGAGAGAACAAACAGTCCCCCCGTATTTAACTAAAGCATCAAGTTTTCTGCTGTTTGTTCCCAAAATTTCCTGAATCAAACAGCCTGTGACACTGCTACTGGAGAGGAATAGGAAAAAGTTTATGTAGTTAGTTCAAATAAGACAGAAACATGATTTAAAACTACTACATAGGGCTTTCAAAAACAAAACTTCACTATTTCTACAGAAGCTCATGCAATCTGGCATTTCACAAGCCCTATCAAGGTGCAGAAGTATGCATAGATTAGCATGTACAGATACTGACGCCAAGAGTTTGCTCACACAACTCTGCTCCTTTGGAACAAGACACTATTTATGGCAATCCACTGGCCAGCGGGGATGATGATGATGATAAAAAGATGTTCTTCATAATTTCAGAGGTGAATCTGTTATTTAAGATACCGAAGATGCAAAGCAAACTACTGCCCAGTTATTAATCCTTTCATAACATCTCCCAGTGGTTTATGAGCTGACATGTACATTTACTGAGTAATTCTGACTTGAACAGCCCATGTTTGTCAGACTGCAGAGAAAGCAATTAATATATTGGTCTAGCTTAATTCGTAATTCTTCCCTCTTCAAATCAAATGCTCAATTAGATAAAAATAGAAAGCAATAGCAGTTATGTTAAAATGGGTGACAGAAGCAGACAGTGCTTCATGTAACAGTTATATCAAGTTCCCAAAAAGTCTTGGCCACAGCAGGCTCTGGAACCTTGAGTTCAATAGGACTGAACACTAACTTGGACACAATGCTCTGGGAACCTTCAAAGCAACAGAGGAAGTAGACAAGTAGAATGTGTAATGTAAAACTAAAGATTAGCACTAAAGCACCTGAGTTGGGAATAAAAAGCTCATACGAACCAGTAGAACAAGGTATAGTTGGTATCACTGCTTACATTCTCCCCAGGACGCCACGTACAAACCATGTACTCCAAATTGTGCCAAACACAGCTCAAGTCAACAGCAGCAGTACCTGGAATACCTACAAGGCAAGTTGGAAAGGTTCTCTAAGATTTATTTTGCCAAATTCTTCTCCCCCATTTTCCATCTTTACACAACTGAAACTGTCCGGAAGGCAAAAATGGGTTGGTTATCTCTCAGACTACACTGGCTGTCTCAGCACAGCAAATGATGAATTCCAGTTGTTGATAGCTTGCAATAGCTGAAATCTCAGCAGAGTAACTTCTAAATGCAAGCCAATCACAGCAGTAAATTTCAGTTTTCACCATGTCTGAATTACTACTCAGAGTTACCTGATGCTAAGGACAAGGTGTTGAGTCAGGAAAATATTTTATTCTATTAAATGACAGATACTTTAAATAGGAGCCAAAGTAACTGGCAATTACAGGGAAAACTAGAACAAAGCTTAGTGCTATTACAGCCATCAACATAAACTATAATGAAATGCTGACTGTTTTTATCTTCTCCAGATACAATATTAGTTTCTTGGTATTCTGAATATGGAACTGCCTGTAGGTCTTAAATATGGACAAAAGCAACACTGAGTAAGTTGACTTTTTAATTGAGACCCATATACCTCTAGACTTTCAAATTCAACATATGGAAAACTCAAATTACAGAACATAAATACAAGGAAGTGCATAACAACTGTAAAGAGAGATGTCCACATATCTCCCAGGCAGAGCAATTATGGAATAAAGTCTTTCATATTCAATCTTGCATTTCTGAATGGTACAGGTTCTTTATACTGTATTATCCTATTACAGCATATTGGATATTTTTTCCTTTTAACAAGTAGCAACATATCCATCAGCCAAAAATTAAATGCGTATTAAACCCCAATGTACTTTGCTACTTCAGGGAAAATACAAGCTCGGTAGTTTAACTAAGAGTACAGGGAAATGAAACTGCTTTTGCTATTCCAAGAAGTATTGAAAAAAGCTTCATCTGCAAACAGACTTATAAAAGCCCCAGCATGTTTAGTACATGCTGTCCTAATGATCTGCTTCCACGATTTTTCCAGAAAACCATTTTGGCAGATGCACTGACAGGCTCGATAAGGTGTCTGATTCTCCCACCCACACGTGGTTTTCGTCCACATCAAGTCATGCTCCCGGACTAAGATGGACTTTTAGGCAAGAGGCTCTATGTCCTTGCTGTACATCGTAACTTCAAGCATTCAGCAAAATACATTCTTTCTCAAAGTCTGTTTCCTAACAATTTTGCTGTGCACCCCTTACTTCTGCATTTCAGAAATACTTTTTTTTTCTACTCATTTTGCTATGCACAGCTTTTTATACCCCAGTCATCTCTTTTGAAAAAGACAGAACCCTACTATAATTATTCAAGTCATTTATTCAACAAGTTGTTAAATTTGCTAGATTCTTTCCTCCAACATGTACAAATGTAGGGTTATTTTAGGGACTTTTGCTTGTACAGGAAAATCATACAAAATAAGGTGACTTAGGTGTTAGTCATGAAGGCAGCAGGCTTAATACAACCTAAGTTATCTCTTATCCCACAACCACCACACAGCAGGGACAAAAGGAATGACAGGAACCACATCGTTATTTTGGGAGAGTATTTAAATTTTACAAGCTTGTCCATAAGATTTTAAGCCTCAGGAGACCCCAGCTGTGTTTAAATGTTTTACAACATTTTAAGCTCTATCAATTGAATGGGCCTGTATATCTGGTATTTCTCTATGATATGTTTCTATGATATTTTGCTAAAATGGCAGAGAAAAAGCCATGTCTCCTCAGGTCTGGCCACTGCTTGTGTTACCTTTTGGCAGAAGGGAGGTCTCCACCCACGGACTGGGCTCACTGGTGTTATCATGCTTGCACTCACTTCTCACTTTGAAACGCATTTCCTCATCCAAGAACGCGTCTGTCACACGGAAGAGACTCTTACTCCACTCCTGCATTTAGATCGGGAGAGGAAAACCACAACATATGTCATACCATGTCAGACACATGGGAATTCCTGTAAGAATGCATCACAGCCCCTCAGAAAGACTGCAGCTCAAAGCCACATGAAATCAGTGTCTGACAACATGGGAAGCCTCAACATCGCTTGGCTTTGGTTTTTCCTCATCAGGGGCACTCAGAACTCACTAAGGAAAACTACTGTTACTC